GGGGGGAGCCCGCCCTGCGTGCGCGCGAAGGTTCTGGGGGGAGCCCCCCGCGCCCCGCACCCAAGGGGGGCCCCCCAAAACGGGACCCCCCGGACCTCCCCTTTAAATGGTGCGGCTCCTTTAAGAGGGGCGGTGGGCGGGGCTGAAGGGCCGGGGGCGCGGCCTCCCGCCCTTCCCTGCCTGTCAATCATTGCTGTAAGTAACTTCTGATTGGTGGAGCCGCCACGCCCCCCAGTATTATAATCCCGCGGTTGCGTCCAACGCGATTGGCTTGGCAGCACGTAAATCTGCGTTTCGATTGGCTGGTGCCGCCAACACTTTCTTGCGCGTTGCCAGGCAACGCGCTCCCTGTTCTCGCTCGCGATTGGTGGAGATTGTGCTTGAGCTGTGACTGGCTGCGGTTCTGCAGCAGATACCGCACTCTTGATGATGATTGGCTTAAAATACCTATCAATCAAAGGGCGAACTTCCGTAACCCCTCCGATTCGCCACCTCCCCGCGCGTACCTTGCTCTGATTGGCTGTCGCTCTGGCCCCGCCCCCGCGGCGGGGTCCGGAAGCGGCCGCGGCTCAGTCGGGCAGCGGCGGCCGCGGCGAGCGGAGCTCCGGGGCCGCCATGGCCGCGGGGGCGGCGGGGGCCGTCCCGGCTGAGCCGCCGCCGCCGCTGGGCCGCCTGCCCGGAGGAGCCGGCACCGAGCGCGCCCTGGAAGAAGCAGAAGCCTCCGGCACGCTCAGTCTGGCCGGCCGGCGGCTGCGCGCCTTCCCGGCGGCGGCGGCGCGGCGCTGGGACCTCAGCGACACCACACAGGCCGGTGAGGCCGCGGCCCCGGGGTGGAATCCCCGACCCTTCCCGCAGCCCGGCGGTGTTCCCCCCGCCCGGGGGAGGCTGCCCCGCCTCGCTCGGTGCCTCCCGGGGCCCGCGGGCGGTGCCGGAGGCGCCGGGACGGGACGAGCCGGGCCGCCTGGTCCGGGCGGTCCGGCGGGTTCAGCGTTCGGCCGGGCGGCTCGGGGTCCATCCGCTGCCCCGTCCCCGGGGATCCGCGTCCTCAGCCCCCTTCCCTGAGCTGCTTTGAGCCTGTCGTTCCCTATCCCCGGAGATCTGCTGTCCCCCCGAGAATGTCCCTACGTGTCCCACACCTTCCCCGGCTCGCCCTCGTCCCTCCAGACCTGTCCCGGAACCGCTTCGGGGAGGTGCCGGAGGCCGCCTGCCGCCTGGTCTCGCTGGAGGCGCTGAGCCTGTACCACAACTGCCTGCGCAGCGTGCCCCCGGCCATCGCCAACCTGCACTCCCTGGCTCACCTGGACCTCAGGTACGCCCCGGCCCCGCCGGTGACCGCGGGGTGCCCGGCAGCGCCCCTGACCGCGCCGTGTGCCCCCGCAGCCGCAACCAGCTGAGCTCGCTGCCCGCCTGCCTGTGCCTGCTGCCGCTGCGCGTCCTCAACGCCAGCAACAACCGCCTGGCGCGGCTGCCGCCCAACCTGGGCGCCCTGCGGACGCTGCGCCAGCTGGTGAGCGCCGGGGCCGGCCCGGGCCCCCGCGAGCCCCGCCGAGCCCCGCTGAGCCCCGTCTCGCCCCGCAGGACGTCGGCTGTAACCGGCTGCGGGCGCTGCCGCCGGGGCTGGGGCAGCTGCGGGCGCTGCGGGACCTGAGCGTGCGGCGGAACCAGCTGGCGGTGCTGCCCGAAGGTGGGTCGGGGCTCTGCGGAGGGGTCCCGCCGCTTCGGGAGGGTTCCATCGATCCCCGTGTGGATCCCCGCGTGTCCGTGTCCCCCCGCTCCCGGCAGAGCTCTCGGAACTGCCGCTGGTCCGGCTGGATTTCTCCTGCAACCGGGTGGTCGCGATCCCGCGATGCTTCCGGCGGCTCCGGCACCTCCAAGTCCTGCTGGCGGACAACAACCCCCTCCAGTTCCCCCCCGCCCAGGTGAGGGGAGCCCGGGGGATCCCCCCGACCCCCCAAAAACTCCAGCTGACCCCTCTGTGCCCCCCCAGATCTGCCTGAAGGGCAAAGTCCACATCTTCAAGTACCTGGAAGCCGAGGCTGCCGCCCATCCTCCCCCAGCGTGGTAAAGGGGGGCTGGAAGAGGGGGGTCCCCGCTGTTTTTGGGGTTTTTGGGGGTCTCTGAGCGCCGTTCTCCCCCCTGCAGCCCCCCGGACGAGCCGTGTCCCCTCCGGCAGCGGGGCGGGCTGGACTCCGGCTTCCACAGCGTGGACAGCGGCAGCAAGCGCTGGTCAGGGAACGAGGTGGGATTTGGGGGGCGTTTTGGGGGGATCTGGGGTGTCCCCCATTACTCCCCCCACCTCACACCCCCTTTGGCAGTCCACAGATGAGTCCTCGGAGCCGTCCCGGCAGCACAGGGAGACACGC